ATACAGAAGTCAACTCTGAGTGAGCCTACACATAAAGCTGAGTGATGAAATTCGACTTAATTTAAAAAGTGGTTTTACCCCCTACCATCTAAAAATGTTTATGAATCAGAAAAACGTTTTAGGATTATGAATGTCTGCGCTTTCAATCATGTGTGGTATTCTGAGACGTATAATTTATAATTATGTGAGAAGAGTAGAATTTTAGAAAAATAAACGTCACATCTAGTTAGCATAATTTATGTAGTCTGTATGCAAATTGCTGTGACAGCTAAACGATTTATAAATTTGATTTAGGATTGAAGAATTCAGTAGACACCGTGTATTATTTAAGACGCTAAACCAAATGGTAGGCCATTCACTCTTCGTCTGTGATTCGTATAAGCGAAGAGGCGTTCGATGAAGAGTAAGGCTTTTCAGCGAAGATGTCATTTTGAAGCAGTACATGCGCATGCATATAGTACATTAGCATGCCAACAGAAGGAATTTTTCTCATAGTATGCTAGTCAAATTGTAAGCTTGGGATAAAAATTAAGTGATACAAAATACACTAATCGGTTTACAATTAAAATGACATAAGCAAATTATGTGACACGGTATATCTGACAGGACTGAGTAGAACTCATGTAGAAATGGAAACACGGTCAAGTTAAGATCAGCAATTACAAGCAGTAAAAATGTTGAAGAGCGAAATGAGGAGAGGGGAGATCCCACTGCACTTCATTTCCGCAACACCTGATCGATTCTGAATACTCAGCGAACTCGCGAACCAGCTTTAAAGTCATCAGTAGATTGCGTGAGAATCTTGTCAAAGAAGTACCAATCAAAATTCTTCAAACTTCACAATTGATAGGAATCCTGTGTTGAATCCGAAACTCTGCATATAGAAGAAATCTGTTCAGTCACTCAACCTACAATGGACCTAATTTGCCTCAACATTCGGTACACAATTTTTGTCAGTTTTATTTTTTCAAAATTATTATTATTTTTTCTCCTTTCCCAACACTATCACTATATGAGGAGTAGTCATTATGACACGGATCTTGACTTGACCCTGTTTCAATGTTATGTCAGCTTTAATCATTTTTGTCAATTATGTCACTCAGTTCACTTCATCTATTTAGCTTTATTTTTGGTTTTACTTGACCAGTGCTTCTATTACGTAATTTTTACCTAAAACTTACATATTTAACGACAAGTCTTTCGGGAGATACCTTTCGCTGCTATGGTGATGTACTATATATATGTGCTCTTGTACAGTTTGAGAATAATAACTCTGAAAACCGTGACTCTTCGCTGAACACCTCTTCTTTTATGAGACTCAATGGGAATTTTTATTTCTGTGATTCGGTAGACAAATGGTAATCAGTTTTATGATTTTATCTAAGATGATGGACAACATCTGTTGCCCATGTGTGGGATTTAACCGATAGCGCAAGTGGTTTAGCTTTTCTTTTCGTTCTGCTCACCTGATACGACACATCGATAGAGTGTAACCACCAGTGAAGAATGGAGAACCCTATTTTAGTAACAGCGGAACTCTAAATCTATCACACTATCTAATCATGGAAAATGACGATCGTGATACAGTAACACTTCTGATATAAGTATAAAACTTGGGCACTATGGTAGAGTATAACTCCATAATGGTTAAGATTTTATTTTGATAAATCACACAGTGTTGTACAGTTATATTAACTGATGACGTTTCGAGCACAAACTATTGCTCATAATCATATCAAGGTGATATGATTATGAGCAATATGTGTTTATCAAGCAGAAGGTATGAACAAATGCAACAAAGATGTATGTATCACCATGACCCATTTGAGGTCATACCATATATCTTTTAGCGATACATCAGACATGTCATATGGATTCCACACTAAAAGCCTATATTTCTGGCTCGCTAACCATCAGTGCTTTTATGTATTAATAATACTTCATCTTCTGGCTGTATGTGGCTATCTCCCTAATTAATTCTACGTTTAGGTAGACAGTTAACAGAAAGGCACAGCACATGATCTAACTTCAATAATCGCCATAGTTTCATGATAACATTTAACTGACTTGTCCGACCGTCAACGGTTGGGGAGCACACCTGACCTCCAATGAATAATCGTGCCTGTCTCACTTACACCACAATCTGTGGAATTCAGTGAAGACCAAAATTGAGTATAATGTTCTCACCCACCATTGCTGAGACAATTCTGTTGGTCACTGGACCAGTTAGTAACACTCAGTTTTCTCGATTAATTGAAACGGCTGAACAGGTGGGCAGTTGACGTCTGTTCGCTTCTGTAGTAGTAGTAGTAGTAGATGACACCTAGAGGAAGTAATGCGTAACCTGAAGCCAAATAAATCTTAGATGAAGATTATTCACTAAATCCCATTTCCAGCTAATCTCTTCTCATAACAGGAATATGCTGTCTGCAAATAAGATGCCAATGAAGTAATCTACCGTGCAACCAGTTTCATTCCACAAGCATCACACAGTGAGATAATAATCTCGTTTGGCGTTGGGTCAATATCCTGCAAACAACACCTGTACAACCAAGGATGTTCATAAGGTTGTTCATTGCCCGTCTAAAACAGTTAACACAATACAGCAGTGCACTCAAAACACATTCTGTTTTTGACCTAATGACTCTAAAGAATATTTGACCGGTCAGTTACTTTTAATCCTAATATCTGTTAAGGTACAACTTCATTGAGAAGATAAGGGAAAAATGAGTAGGGAATATTCTTTTCGAGTATTTTCTCATCATGTTCTACAGCTATGTATACCATATAATCGAGGAGTAATTGTTAAACAGTCATATCTCTTAAAGAATATCGAGTTGTTAAGACAACTAGACCACATTTGAAAGGCATGTGTAATTGATGAAATGCATACATATAATACCAAATTAAATATCACTAAAGGTTAGGACGCAGATTAATGCACCGATTAAAGGCAATTCAAACGATGATGACGTGTAGATGACTTAGAAGGGAAGCGAAACTGTGACACCTTTATGAAAGTGGGTGTATGAACACATAAGTTTGTATTCTTCAGGTGAATTCCGGCGATTTCAACTATATGCAGAAGATAAACTCGTAAGGTGTAATGAGAACTACTCGGAATACGATAGATAACTTTCAAGCCTCGTTAATATCAGCTGTATCTCGAATGTCTACAAGGTGGGTGAACACAGCTATGAACAGACCTTGTTTGTCCACTACCTAAACATGTACAACAATGATCTAAACAACCCGATATCGTTTAAAAACAAAGAAGTGTTGTCAATAACAACTACTCTTTGAATGTTATGTATGTATACAAAACTGTAGGACCTGGTGACGAAGGTACCAAAAAGAATAGTCTTTCATTATTATGAAAATTTTTGTATTTCCTGATGAATTAAAAACAAAATGATATTATTTTTACTGAAGTTTCGGTGTTTAATGGTAACTACTTTATCAAAGTGATATAAAACAAGAATTTACAATTGGATGGTATTTGATGGCTGTATGTAATCGGTAGGAAGCCTTGCCAAGACCTAGGTTTCGTGCTAGTTGGCACTCGTCAGCAGGGCATATCTGCAACCCTGAAGGAACTCATGTCTCTTCTGAGATCCGAAACCACGTTATCCAGTGCTGCAGTCAGAGATGTTACCACTGAGCTATTCGGGCTCGCGATTGATCTCCTGTAGTGCAGACTCTCATTGGACAATAGTAACTAATGTGATGTGCCTAGTCCTTTGTTTGGTGCAGACTGAATTCTATCAGTCACGTGGCCACATTGCAAACCTGACTGATAGAATTCAGTCAGCACCAAAGAGAGGACTAGACGCATAACACTAGTTCATAGTGTCCAATCCAAGTAAGAATTTACAATATTTTTGCTCATACACAATAACGTAATCACCGTCCTTCAGTATGAGGTAATTTTTGCGTTGTCAGATGGTAAGTATAAGAAACTGTGAGCAGATTGTTACATTTGATACGTGTATAAAGATATGCTCAGTGATACTGCTTATGACATTTGTATCGACTTTGTCATTCAAGGGGTAGCAGATTGTTTGAATTGGATCAAATCCTGTCGCAATCTGTCAGCTGAACTAGAACAGGGTGGAAAGAAATATCAGCTGTAGGTACACACGTTAAAGAATAAGACCATTTGATTGATTTTAACAACACTGAAATCATCAAGAACAATTTCATAAATCACAACGAAAGTCTCATATCAGAAGCACTTCATAATAAATGGAATCCAAGTTATCTGAATGGGAATGAGAATGACTACGACAGAATCTGACCTGGTTCCAACACACACACAATCACACGAAGTGACGAAATCAACACAAATGTGATAATCAATTTGATTATGTAAACACGTGCTCTTTTTATAATTTCATACACTCATCAAATCCAACAATCCACACATGGTTCCTTATCTTTACAAGCTGACCAACTTGACAATGTAAAAATTACCTTATGCTGAAGAACTATGATTAGATTAGTGTATATAAGCTGAGATTTTGTAAATTCTAGTTTAATATCACTTTGATAAAGCTATTAGGAGCATTAAGTAGCCAGACGTTAGTGGAAGCAGTACCGTCTTGTTTTTCATTCATTAGGAAATACAAGCGTTTTATGAATATAATGAATATATCACATAACCAGTGCTCAAATGCTTTCAGACTATTATTGGTCAAGTTGGTTTGGAGATATATTAGAATATTCTTTCCTCAATCTCTTTGTTTTCTAAATGTCTAAATGGGAGCTGAAACTTTTCCCGACATCACTATGAAAAGGGTGTTTCTACACATCTACAACATTCTCTTATAATCATAAACTGGATATCTATTTTGCTATACCATAACCATACATCATTTGAACTTCCTTTACCACAGACTATGTGTTCTGCACTGTCAATGAATCAGTAATGGTAACGATATTAATAATAGTAATAAGAGTAATAATAACAATAGTGATAATGATTCCATCTCACAACTCACCAAAATTTTCATCATTCTGTTTAAGGCATATAATCAATTGAAAATAAATCCATCAAAAAGTGCTCCACACTTGAAAATGGTTTTTTGTGAAGAAACTGGAAAGCAGCGCAAAAATTCAATCACCAAATTTTAATGTGGTAATTGATTTACGTGTGTGTGTGTGTGTCTGTGCGCGTATTTGTTAATTGTGAATCAGTCAGATGCATTTTTGTTTAAAACAAGGAATGCATTTTAGCGTCACAAAAACTGTTTAGAAATGTATGCTATGCATGTGTGGTAAGCCTACGCATCAATCAGTCACAATGTGAGTATAAACGCATAGAAAATTTAAACCAGTACACAATGATAGTTGAGAAAACTTTAATATACACGTTTAGAGCTGAAGTTACTACGTCTAAGGGTGCATGTTTTAACCTCCAAATGTCCCCTTCAATTCACAATTCACAAATTATGAAGCCTGAAATGAATCGCAGCATACACGTAGTTACAGTCTCTACGCTTCTACCTGAACCAAGTGTTGATCATAGGTAATTCCCAGGTCTGCTATTGTCCTTAGCTTTCATAGTCATTTAATCAATGTCTCACTCATTATATCTCGGTATCATGCCCTACAACAGTTAGGAATAATTTTATGAGCATAAACTGAAGAAACATTGAATAGATTGTGTTTTGAGCTAAAAATTCTGAGTAAAGGTAAGACATTTGAGAAACAATCAGTATATAACTTCAGGAAATTAAAATTCACTGACCAGTATGAAAATTGTTATTATTCGTAATTAACTGTTCATTCGTTGTTTTCCTTGTGTGGAACATAGAGCTTCTGTGGCACATCTCCAATCCTCTCGATCGATTGTCAGCAGTCACTTTCAGCTGGTTAAACTACTGCCACAAGCGCTCTCGTTTAATGTGCCTTCAAATAATCTTCTCTGTGTCATCATCTCACGACCAATCCATCACTGCCGAGTGGTTTGTGGTGTAAATTGAATGTTTCTTCTGTGTATGCACACTTCACCTCCATTTCTTCGTACATGTTTGTTGTGTTGTAGGTTGCTGGCTGTTTTGCTGTCAAAATTACTTTTGGCTCATCGTGTATTCTCTAAATACTTTCAGTGATGCACCAAGTGAATTTAAATCATATAGAAAAGCACAGACTCGACACTAGTGGCCATCAACAAAGAACTCTCTCAGGTAGCAAACCAGAAAACAACCTAGTGCCCAACAAAAGTGCAGAAAGAAGATGAGATCGATTGGACATACACCAGGGAGTCCTACAGGGAAACCATACCCATAACATCGAATAGAACCCTGGTTTGAAGAAATGAAATCATGTGAGGTGTGAACTTAAGCTTTTGGCTGGTCATGGAGGCAGGTGAGAATTAAGTAGAATAGACACATGCCTAAGGAGCCCCATTCTGCACTCGGAAGGCAGCGAACAAAGGATAAACAGCAATAATACAATGCCCAAAACATCCGAGTATAAGTACCCTAGGAAGAAGTGAGAATCTCCGAAGTTTATGGGATTTCAGGAGTCTCAACAAAAAAATACAATTTAACTTGTGCGACGCATGCAAAGTATTTTCTCAACACATTCCGAACATTCTGTCTGATCACACAATAGGTCATTAGATGTCAAAGTAATAAGTTACGGGTGGAAATCACAGAGAGGTGTGGAAGCAGAGTGGCTGTACCAGCATTGTGTGAATAGCGCTCACTTTGAGAACTGGATTACAAAGGCATCTTTAGTCTATTGACAAACAATTTTTCGATTATACAAATCAGATTTGGGCCTTTTCATATCTAGGGTTTCAACAAATTCATTCATATAATGCAACCTTCCATATTAGTTTGTTTATTAGGTATATCACACAGTGAAACAGTATTATTTACTGGATGACATTTCGAACAAAATTTATTGTTCATAATCATATCAATTGGGATCACACGAGTTTGATACTTGATTTTTATAGCTTTCTTTGTTCTCTCCTATTTGTCGGAGGGGGAGTAGAATTTTCCAGATATCGGGGACAGGCGATGAATCATTCGTATTACATGTATTTGCAGTTGATTCGATAAACACAGCTTCTGTTATCAATCTCTCCCTATACCCTGTGACATTAGATTTTAAAACTGTCATCCTATCCCATCCTATTGCATGGTTGTGTGTGACTGCATGAAGTGCTATAGCTGAACTATACTCTAGATTTCTTATCTTATTCGGGTCAACCAATCTAGATTTTGCTAGGTTTTTATGTTCAGCTAGTCTGACTGCCCCTATTCTACTAGTATGACTTATGTATTTGACCTGACAGTCATTCCGGCAGGGTATTAGATAAACTAAATTGTTTTGTTTTAAAGGCTCTACAGGATCCTCTAACCGACAAAGCTTGTTTCTAATTGAGTTTGTGAGTTTGAATGCCATTTTGTATTCCTGCCTTGTTGAGAATTCTGCGTAAGACTTCCGAGGTTCCTTCCTTGTATGGAATTACTACTGATGATTTAGATTCTTTATTGTTGGTGTCGTCATCAATATTATTGTTACTGTCACTATTATCATTATCATTATTATTGTTATTATCACTATCGCTACTATCATTATTTATTTTATTTTTACATTTCCTTACATATTTCCTGACTAGTTTATCCGGGTAATTATTAAGTTTCAAGGCTTATTTTATGTGTATCAGTTCCTGTTTTAGATTTTCTTTGGTACTACTTAATTTTTGTGCTCTGTCATTTAAAAATTTCACCAATCCTATTTTTACTGACATAGGATGGGATGATTGGAAGTCCAAATATCTGTTTGAGTGTGTGGGTTTCCTGTAAACACTAGTGTTTAACTTCCCATCTTTCCTCTTTACGTTGCAATCTAACATTGGGAGCTCCCCTTCCTGATTTTCCAATTCATAAGTGAATTGAATTGCCTCAACCTTCGAGTTTATGTGTTCGAAAAACCTATCTATATCAAACTCGTGTGTTCCCAATTGATATGATTATGAACAATAAATTTTGTTCGAAATGTCATCCAGTAAATAATACTGTTTCACTGTGTGATATACCTAATAAACAAACTAATATGGAATTACTTACTACCACAGTGCCCAAGTTTTACACATATAATAATGCAACCTGTTTCATTAGATACGTTTAAAGACACCACTGAAGTCGGTTTCATTGCTAGACACTAATAGACGTTAAGTGACAGTGTAACAACAGAAGATAAGGGCCAGGTAACAGATCAGTTTTATTACGAAAACCAACAGGTATTTATATGCATTTTACGTACATTAATAGGCTTCTGCCCGTAGAAAGAAGGCGGTCTTCTGATTGGTTGTTTGCAAACGAACGCAGTCTTCTGCTTTCTCGTTTCGACATTTTTCGGAAATGCGAGCCACTTGTCTGCGAATCATATTTGTCCACGTTTAGGTCAGCTGTGATTGGTTGTTGAATCAGCCTAGATTAATTTCTACCAATCAGCGTAGACCAATGTCTACCAATTGGCTAGCAGATTGCTCTCACCACACTCGTCCCCCCGTCAAATAGCTTCGTACGCAGGCGTTCCGACCTTCTTGGTGCTACCTCCTCTAGTTGAGGATTGTTGCTGATCGGCTTGTCCCACTGTACCCATCGTTGGAGCTGACTGGCATTAACTCGTTTCTGTTTGTCACCTCTTCAGACGGTATATACTTGACCCCGTCTTTTTGTGATTGTGTATGGTCCTTCCCACTTTGGCAGGAGTTTCCGTGAACCTGGCCCGCCTCCAACTGTATATCTCCTGTCTCTACACTTCACTTGGTCCCCGACTGCAAAGGTGATGCACCGCGTCTTTCCTTTCATCTGAGACTTCGCGACATCACTCCGCTGCTTCCGTATTACATTCTTGACGGGTTCTTTCCGTTCTGCTTTTAATTTCGTCGTACTCCACTTTTGGTGAATAGGCCAGGTCTCGTTGTGTATCGATAATCGTGGTTTTCTACCATACATCAGTTGAAAGGGTGACTTCTTCGTTGTTTCCTGAGTGGTAGCCCGATGCGTCAGTAAAATCAGTGGAAGCTCCGTTTCCCAGTTACCGCCCTTCGAGGCCAGCCACTCCTTCAGTGTACGGTTGTTTCTCTCCGTTAGGCCATTCGTCTGTGGATGATATGGGGTCGTTCTGATCCTCTTGATGCCCAGCTGTTGCAAACGGGAAGTAAATTCTTCACTCTGGAAACAGTGACCTTGGTCTGTCAGTATCGTCTTTGGTACGCCGTGGTCTGCAACGATGTGTTTAACTACTGCGTCTGTCACGGTCTTTGCACGTTGATCTGGGATCGCTACGGCGTCTACCCATCGTGTCGCGTGTTCCGTCATCACCAGGAGGTACTGATTACCATTGGATGTCTGAGGAAATGGACCCATGACATCTACGGACCACAAGTCACCTATCGCCGTAACTGGAATCGACTGAAGCGGTGGTCGTATGCACCGGTCGCCTTTCATTAGCTGGCACCGTGGACATCCAAGTACGTATCTTGCTACGTCTTCTCTCATACCTGGCCAGTACATGCTTTGTCTTAGGAGGTCAGTTGTTCTGGCCACGCCTGTATGTGCTAGCTGGTGACATTCTTCTATCATGTCGTGGCGCGAGGACTGAGGTATGATAGCCAGCCAGCTTCCGTCGTTCTCTCGCCAGGTCAGAGTCCCGTAGGCATTCACTCTTAGTCGATCTCTCTGTCTGAGTAGTGTGGTTAGCTCCTTACTCGCCGTAGCTTGATCTACTTCTATCCCGTTGGTTATCACCTGTATCACTGTATTCAGCGTATCATCCAACCTTTGCTTGCGTGCAAGTTTTAGTGGGTCTTGTTCTACAGCATGCACTCCGTAAGCGACCTCGGGTAACTCAGGCTCGTCTTCTGGTCTCGATAACAAATCTGCCAAGACATTTTCACTTCCAGGAACGTGTGAGATGGTAAAATCGTACTCCTGAAGACGCAACATCCACCGTGACAATTTCCCTCGTGGGTCTCTCGCTGTCTTCAAAAATTGTAGCGGCTTATGATCAGTTTCGATGTGGAACCGCCGGTCGAGTAAATAAGGTCGCCATTTGTCGACTGCCCATA